ATGTTAGCTCGGGAATTCTGGGAGTTGAAGTCCACAAGTCTTAAAGCTTGCCAAGGTTGAAGACCCTTGACCTGCTTTCCTGTTAGAACTTAATCAAATTGAGCTCAACCACCCAAGGGTGGGATTCAGCCGGTTCGGACCGGTTCGAGTGAACCGGATATTAAATTTACAACTGGTTTGCCAAACCGGTAGTCGAACCGACCGGCTGGCCCTGTCCACCCCACCCCGCCCCTCTCAGGAGTCTCCACACAGCCTGTTTTGGTCTGCACGGAGGCTCTGGGAGGGGAAAACGGGCCTTTCGGAAGTACTGGAAGTCTGAGGGAAGCCTCCGGACTCTGGGGATGGCGGAAAAAGCCCTCCCGGCAGCAGGCCACGCCCACTGTGGCCACGCCCACCCAGCAACCGGGCAGCGAACCGGTTGCTGGTGTTTTTGAATCCCACCCCCTGGCCACCACCCCAAGGCGGCGTGAGATCTGCAACGCCCGAACTGTGACCTGGGCTAAGCAGCCTGTGGAACTCATTGCCACTAGACACGAACCACCCGTCCTTTGAAGTTGGAAAATAAAACCGAGCCATGTAGGTTAAAGATAAATTAAATTAAATTAAATTAAAAAGGAGCAGAGGGAATTTTAAAAAAGGAAAGTTATTACAGAAGCCAGCGGAAGGTTGTGCGGTCTGGAAGTTTGTGAGATGAGCTGTTGATAAGAAAAGGTGTTTCCCCCCCAATGGGCCAGAGAGAAAGTTTAACAGTAGGAAATGGGACTGTGTGGAGGAGATGTCCAGACCGCAAAGCTTCCTGTGGGTTGTTGAAGAGTGACAGAGCTCCAACCACACCTCCCAGGAGACAAAAGCAGGCCCCTTTCTCAACGCCAAAGAGTGAGGCCCATTGGCCAGTTGTGAATACTCACCCCCTGCAACTGGTTGTTAGCACTTACATATCCTGACCATGCCCTGATTTACAATCCCCACCATTTTCCTCTAGGAGAAAAGAGTTTTTTCCCCCCTCTCATTTTTCTCTCTTTTGATGCTTCTCCAAGCTTTCATGAAATGTAGAATCCTAGGGCTGGAAGGGACCTTGGAGGTCATCTAGTCCAACCCCCTGCTCAAGCAGGAGACCCTATGCCATTCTGGACAAATGGCTGTCCAGCCTCTTCTTGAAAATCCCCAATGATGGAACATCCACAACTTCCAGAGGGAAGCCATTCCACCCATCCATCCATCTATTCTTCCGTCTGTCTGTCATGCAGCTTATGTGTCTCAGAATCCTAGAATCCTAGGGCTGGAAGGGACCTTGGAGGTCATCTAGTCCAACCCCCTGCTCAGGCAAGAGACCTATGCCATTTTAGACAAATGGCTATCCAGCCTCTTCTTAAAAGCCTCCAGCGATGGTGCACACACAACTTCTGGTGGGAAGCAGTTCCACTGGTTCATTGTTCTCATTGTCAGTCAATTTCTCCTTAATTCTACGCTGCTTCTCTCCTTTGATTTCTTTGATATCTGCTCTGATGTCACAAAGGTGGACTCCAGAGATGTTGGACTTCAACTCCCATAAACCTTGGCCAGAGCATCCAGTGGAGATGGGGGCAACAGGAACAGCCGGATTCAACAGGAAAACACCAGCTGGGAGGCTGACTGGTTTTAGACACAGCTTCACTCCCTTTTCTTATATAAGACGCCATGCCCCATTCTCCACATCCCACCGATCCGAAAAAGCTCACTTTGGAGGGAAATACAGGTAGTCCTCAAGTTACGACCACAATTGAGCCCCAAAATTTATGTGGGTAAGGAAAACATTGGTTAAGGGAGTGTTGCCCCATTTTAATGACTTTTCATGCCACAGCTGGTAAGTGGATTTGCTTAATGGCCATGGGGATTTGCCTAACAACCACCTCAAAAACAAAAGACAATAAAAAAAATAAAAGACATATAACTGAGTCAGTCACATGATGGATCACTTCATGACTGGCATGATTTTTTACTATAATTCCAGGCTCTGTTATGGTCATAAGTCAAAGACTACAAATGGATGGATGGATGGATGGATGGATGGATTGTTGAAAGAAAGGACAGTAGGAAGGAAGGAAGGAAGGAGGGAGGGAGGGAGGGAGGGAGGGAGGGAGGGAGAGAGAGAGAGAGAGAGAGAGAGAGAGAGAGAATCACAAAGTATAAAGACCTACAAATAGAAGCAGAACCAGTGGCAAAATAAAGCAAAGATAGTAGCAGTAGCCACAGGCACCTTGGGGGCATTCCCAAAATATCTTGAACATCCCTTGAACACGATCAACGTTGACAAAATCCCCATCAATCAATTGCAAAAGGCAGCTTCACTCAGAAAAGCTCACATACCGCAATGACACCTGTAACCCCATGAAACATCCACACCTGTCTATCCCAGGTCTTTGGGGTGGACTCCAGAGGTGGACAAAAAT